GAGCTTGCTCTACTTCTGGCTGAGTTAGATGTTTGGGAGTGACAAATAGCCTTCAATTTCCAGCCGAGGTCCGATGCAATCTGCAGGGCCTTTTTTTCTCTAAATTAAATTATAAGGTCCTAGAAATATGAGCAGCCAAGTGGTCGTAAAGACAGAAAGAACATTCCAGATCAATGGGTGTTTTTTTTCTGAGGTGACCCTGGTCTGCTGTCAGTGAAACTATCGGACATCATATTCCTTTATTTCCAGGGCCATCACAAATGGAGCTGGACCAAGATTCTACTTTTGTTTATTTATTTATCAAATTGATTGACTGTTCATCTTACCATAGGATAACTCTGGACAAGATAAAGAATGTAACTCTAATGAGGTAAGGAATAGTTGAAGAGAAGAGGAAACTTGCTTCGGATCCTTGGACTTTTCTGATGTCTTTTAAGTTCTTTTCTTCCAAGTATTTGAAAATTCCTTCTTAAGACTGACTCTTAGCTGTGAAAGCTACATCTTAAACAATTCTTGTAATTTTTGGATTTTCATAGTTCAACCTCAATCTGTGCCGGAAGAAGATGGGTGAAAGCTTGAAAAGCTTGTAGACTCTGGTGGCATTTTGATTTAGGACTGGATTCAGGATTTTTGTCCTTTCCTCTTTTTTTTTTTGACTTAAGGAGAGAAAGAGCTCTTCTCAAAAAGAAAAGTTTGAATCTCAACGTTTTAAGTGTTCTACAATTTGATATACCTTTCTATCTTGCTCTTTCTCCAGAAAGTTCAGCATGGTGCATATTGTTCATTTTCCCCTAGGTATGTTGTATTTTCAGAAAATCCCTACAGGATAAGGCTGCAAGAAAATCAGAGTAAGGTTTCTGCAATGCGTTTTTGCAACTTAACAAAATGGGAAGCTTAAATTTCACAATCCACTGTATGGTATGGTGCCATTGTTATGTGTTCAAGAAAACAACAAGGTCTACTGTCATTAGTTTTTGGGGAGGTGTAATTCTTCTGATAACTGGAACCAACATGGATTGTATTCCTCTCCCTTTGTCTAACCTTCTCCCTATACCAGTCCATCCAGCTCCTGAGCGTTCTCATTATTTCAAAGCAGTGGTGGAATTCAAATTTTTTTACTACCAGTTCTGTGGGGGTGGCTTGGTGGGCATGATGTGGCTTGGTGGGCGTGGCTTGGTGGGCAGGGGAAGGATACTGGAAAATCCCCATTCCTTCCCCACTCCAGGGGAAGGATACTGGAAAATCTCCATTCCCTCCCCACTCCAGGGGAAAGATACTGCAAAATCCCCATTCCTTCCCCATTCCAGAGGAAGGATACTGCAAAATCTCCTTTCCCTCCCCACTCTGGGGCCACCAGAGGTGGTATTTGCTGTTTCTCCGAACTACTCAGAATTTCCGCTACCGGTTCTCCAGAACTTGTCAGAACTTGCTGGATTTCACCCCTGCTTCAAAGTTAAATTTATCAGGAAGAGCTGCCATTTTTCACCTTGCTGGTTTCCAGCTTCACCCAACGTTGAGCTCACTTTCACTGACTGGAGCAGGGATGGGCAACGATGGCCCCTTTACAACCTGTGGACTTCAACTTCCAGAATTCCTGAGCCAAACCAGGGGGTTGGACTAGAAGACCTCCAAAGTCTCTTTCAACTCTGTTATTCTATATTGTATGTCTGGAAGACTGAGTGGAATGGAATGGAATAGAATAGAATAGAATAGAATAGAATAGAATAGAATAGAATAGAATAGAATAGAATAGAATAGAATAGAATAGAATAGTTCTTTATTAGCTAAATGTGATTGGACACACAAGGAATTTGTCTCCGGTGCATAAGCTCTCAGTGTACATCAGAGGTGGGTTTCAGCAGGTTCTGACCAGTTCTGGAGAATTGGTAGTGGAAATTTTGAGTAGTTCAGAGAACCGGTAGTAAAAATTCTGACTGGCCCCGCCCCCATCTATTCTCTGCCTCCCGAATCCCATCTGATCAGGAGGAAATGGGGATTTTGCAGTATCATTCCCCCGGAGTGCGGTGGGAACGGAGATTTTACAGCATCCTTCCCCTGCCATGCCCACCAAGCCACCCCCCCCAAGCCATGCCATGCCCACCAAGCCACACCCACAGAACTGGTAGTAACAAAATTTTCGAAACCCACCACTGGTGTACATACAAGCAACAAAGTAATATAATCATAAGATTCCAATAGGAGAAGGTAGAAGGTGTACAATTTAAACAATGAGGACTTCCAGAAAGGGAATCTTGATAATCAGTTGCAGCAAAACAAAAGGCATCGTGAAATCTCATGGCTTTTTAACTTTTGTGGACAAAAGTCCTTTTATGGTTAAATAGGGTAGGAAGGCCCGGTCCCCGGGAACAAAACGATTAGCAAGTCATTTAGCTCCTAATGTTTGTCTCCTGCTCCCAGAGGTATGTACCTATCTAATCATCTAATCCTTTAAGAACAAGATGGTGGCGATGAGGGAACTAAGTCTTGTGCCCAACCCTTAATGTTCAACCATTAGTTAGCTTCCCTGTCCAATATTTCTAACAGGGGTCCAATACCGCTGATAGCTGCATTTCCCAGTGGAAACCAATCTCTTCCTGTGACCTTCTTTCATCAAGCTATTAAGATGTCTAAAAACCCCTTGGAGGCTTAGATGAACAGATCCAAACTTTTTTTTTTTTTTTAATTCTCGGTTCCATCTTCCCTTTTGAGGAATGTTTATGGGTGAATGATTTTTTCTCCCATTTCCTAAGATTTATGGATTTAATTTAACATCCCTCTGAAAATGGTAACATCCTTCCCCATTCGAGATCCATAGCTCCGGAGTCAAAGTTATGTTCCTCCGTGATGGTCTTTGTGTCACCAAAAGGCATTGTGTCGGATGCTCACAATCTGATGCCACTGAAGGGTCACGTCATTTAGGATTTCAAAGACTTCTTCTGGATGCTCAGAATTGACAGGGGTGTGGGGGGGGGGGGAACCAGGGCTGGTGGTACCCTCCCAAAATAAAGCTGGGCCAAAAAACCTCTGTTTTTCCATCTTTAAGGAAAAGAATTTCCAGTTCGATAGAAAAAGACATTTAGGAGGGAAATACGAAAAATGAAATTCTTTGCAAGCAGATGGGGGAATTGTTATACTCAATTGGAAGGTCCTGCAATGATATAAATTGCTTTGGCCTTTCCTGGTGTCCATAATAGTTAATTGTCATCCTGACTTCTTCTCTCTCTGGTAGTCCAGAACCACCCTGGCTTCTCGTCTTCCTCATTGGAAAATGCAGCCTGCCCAATGAGATCCCAAGGGAATACATCACGAGCAAACTTCTCCCTAGACGTTTTTCATTTCAAAAATTTCAAACAGTCACAGAGGCCACCTGAAGCACATGGAGAAATATTTATGAGAATCAACGTAGCCAACATCCTTTGTCATCTTGCAATAATGTGAGCCAAGACAGGAGGAAAAGGAATTCCAAATTAATTCCAAAACCATCTTCAAATGAGATTGTAAAGCACAAACATCCCTGTGGAAGAGGGTTTTCCTACCTCCAGTTTCTGTGAAATCTTGGAATTACCCAATATACCAAGATTATTCCCTACTCATGGACGAAAGTATCACCCAGGCTTCATTAAGGTGATACGAAACTTCTTCTGGACAAGTCCCTGCAGTTTTCTTGGCAAAGATTTTCAGAAGTGCTTTGTCATTGCCTCCTTCCTAGGGCTGAGAGAGAGGGACTGGCCCAAGGTCACCCAGCTGACTTCCTGCCTAAGATGGGACTAGAACTAGTCTCTCAGCTTCTATCTTGATGCCCCAACCTCTGTCTCAAACTGGCTCACACCATTTGCTTAACACCTTCCAGATCTACATAATTAAATGAAGCCAGTGTGGTATAATGTGTCAGACTTCGATGCTATCTTAAAATAAATGAATTTCCAAACTGCCAATCTTTAAGGAAATCTTTTCTTTAATAGAGCACAGCCACCGGATCATGACTCAATGTGGACAAGACTGACCTTTTGCCCCCCAATCCCTCCCTTTCCGATTCCCAAATCTCTGCTTCTCATTGGCTATCTTCCAAGTCATTCTTCAGACTTCTTGTCTCGTCATTTCCCAGGAATGTCTCCCCCCTTCATTTCCACGACAACCGGACATCAAAGGGATTTAGCAGGCAGAAGTTCAGAGCTTATCTCTCTCTCTCTCTCTCTCTCTGCTCTCTATGCCAGCGTCGAAACGCTGACATAATGATTAAAAAGTTTGGACTAGAATTGAGGAGACTGAAAGTCAACCCAACCCATTGAAATCCTCGGGTTTCTATTCACCAGGAGTTCTTTCTCAATCAGAAGGCGGCCATTGGAAGAAAATGGAGATCCCCCCCATATAAACCACCTTTTGCTCCTGGAGAAAAGCTAGGGTGATCATGATGATGATGATTGCTATTGCACTTAAAAACTAAGCACAGAATGGAAATGAAGGGATATATCCTTTGAATTTAAACGTCCAACATGATCATGTGCTATCAAGTCATGATTGATACTTTGAGACCCCACAGACAGATTTTTCTCCATGGTCAACTTTTCCAAAATGTGAACAAAGTAGACACATTAAAATCCAGCCAGCTCTAACTCCAAGGGAAGAGGGGAGTGCCAAACAGGATTTTACAATAAAAAGAACAAACTTCATAAAAGCCAACTAAACATGCATGGCTAATTGATTTTTTTTTTTAAAAATCAACAATGTCAGTCTTGAAAAGCAGGGAAGCCAGCTCAAAAGCTACAGATCCTCCATCGAAGGAAGACCTCCATTGATTGTTATGGTTATTGTTACTATTACTGTCATTTTTTCCAACGGAAAAACCTACAAGGGATGAAACACGATTTCTAGCGAAGATTGGTTATTTATCTTCTTGGCCGAATCCTCTAGTAATAATGCCACAGTCATGTTTTCAGGTTGGTTGCCAAGACAACCCTCCCAGGAGATGGGCAAGAACACGGATTATTGCATCACAGTTCTTTAGAGAAGACTTTGTCAAGGTCAGCTAATGGTTTCAGCAGGAATGGGTACCATTAGCTAAACGATGCAGATTGCAGACTGCAAGTTACTTCTCGGCTGTCCACTTGCCTTTGGCATGACTCCACAACTGCAGCTTCCCCTCCTGCAAAAACCAGAACCATGACTGAAAGGACCTGGACGCCAATAGGGCCTGTGAATTGGCTGGATAACAAAAGAGCGAAAGCTTTACGAGTATCCAACGATAGGGAGATATTTCAGGTATACGGCGTGAAGTCCATTGTATCTGCATTCACCTTTCTCCACCAGCTGGTTGGAGGTGAAAGTCTGGTTTTCTTGAAGGAGGAGGAGGAGAAGGCTCAAGTCTGGGGTCTGGAATAGAAATCGACACCCTAACCCTGGAAAGAAAGGAAAAATGCAAGTACAATAGCAGTGAGAAGAAAGAGGCAGGTGTGAAGAATGAACACTGGAGGAGGTTATTGTTCCACATAAGGGGATGATCAGGGTTTGCTCCTTACTGACATGAGTGATGTTACTAAGTGGTTTCAGGAATCATCTTCTTTTAACGACCCCATAATCCCTTGCAGGGTGGAGTCTGAGCAACTGAATGGAGATGAGTGTTTACTGGCCAGATGCCCTTCCTGTCACCAATGCGAAGTTTTGTTCAGCAGATACATTCTCATTGTGCCCAGAGAGAGAAATATCTGCCTCTACCTAGGATCGAACTCACATCCTCCTGTTCTTGCAATCCTCTTTGAGAGACCCTTTGTTCCCTGTGTCACTAGATCGGGAAGCAGGTGAATTTTGAAAAGAAGTTCTCTTGCCAAAAATATATCCTTAAATTGTATCAAAGGATGCTTTCTAATACTTCCATGGATGGAGAAAGTAAGAGGAGGAGCTCTCCTTGAAAAGCCATTTTAAAAAAAATCCCACCATCTTAATGGAAATAGCACTTAAACTTATAGACCGTTTCATAGTGCTTTTACAGCCCTCTCTAAGCGGTTTACAGTGTCAGCCTCTTGCCCCCAACAATCTGGGTCCTCATTTTACCCACCTTGGAAGGATGGAATGCTGAGTCAATCTTCAGCCTATCAACTTCAATCTGCTATGCCTTTGCATTGCAGCTGGGCTTCCATTAAGCTTCATACCCACATGCTAGAAATATAAAAGCATTAGTTTCAAAAGTGAGTGAGGCTATCTATCAGTGGTGGGTTTCACTTACCTTTGCTACTGGTTCGCTTGCATGCGCGCCACTTCTGTGCATGCGCAGAGCGTATTTGATGATGTCTGGGCGGGTGGGCGGACTCTCCCACTACTACCAGTTCGCCCGAACCGGGGCGAACCAGTAGCAACCCACCACCGCACTCTCTCTCTCTCTCTCTCTCCCTCTCTCTCTCTCTCTCTCTCTCTCTCTCTCTCTCTCTCTCTCTCTCTGTATCTAGCTATCTCTATTTATCTCTCTCTCTCTCTCTCTATCTATCTCTCTATCTATCTATCTAACTATCTAGCTAGCTAGCTAGCTATCTATCTAGCTATCTATCTAGCTATCTCTAGCTAGCTATCTCTATCTATCTATCTATCTATCTATCTATCTATCTATCTATCTATCTATATCTAATTAGCTAGCTAGTAAAAGTGTATAAAACAAAGAAAAGGTAGAAAAAGGAAATTGAAAAATTGATACAATTAAGGCTTCCGCTCTTCTATCTATTGAGTAATTATCTTATTCTTTCCCCCATTTTCTTCATTTCCTTGTAATCCCTGAAACCTCATCAATTCTATCTTTTCTTCTTTCAACAAAGGGTCCATATAAAACTTTGAATCTTTCAAATCAAAAATCTTTTTTTTCCTCCAATCAGGTTTAGCACTTCTACAAGTTTGGTGAAATTTATAATCCATGTTTTTCACTGTAGGTATTTCATTGTTTTTCCAAACATTTTGCACACTTTCCGACTTTTTTTTTTTGGCATGCTAAAGTGGGGAGGGGAGGCAATTTCCTGATATAAAGAATCCGTTATTCAAATCTTGGTTGCCCTTGATGAATATTTCTGAGAGTTTATTTATGTTGTGAAATGAGGGGAAACCCAGATTAACCAACTTTCCATCCCGATCCTTCAGCTGAAGAAGATTAGACGATCGCTGGATTCCATGAAGATGATGAATGAAAGCCTCTTGCTGCAAGAGGAAAGGAAAGTGAAAAGGTGGCTTAGGAATCAAGCATCTCTCTCCCCTACCTGTTCCTATAAAGCAGTGTATTATAAGGTACTTTGGAAATGACACCAACAAGAGAAAAGAAACTTGCCCAGATGTGTTTGGTCCCATGGCCCCTTGAAAGGGTGAGAGACACAATGTCAGATGTCTATGGAGATTCTCAGTCATCCAGGTCATAGTTGTTCCAAAGTTGTTGTTTCCAAAGGCAACTGGACTTTTTTCCCTTGAAGATGCTTCACTTCTCATCCAAGAACTGAAAAAGCTTCTTGGATGAGAAGCAAAATGTCTTCAGGGAAAAAACAAAATCAAGGTGCCTTTGAAAAAAGCAAAGACAATGTCAGATGGTTGTTTGCCGAATGGGAGCAATGCAGAATTTTCACTGGGGTAACACAACTTTCCCTTCTTCATATTCAATGTGCATATAGTTGGAAATAAATCCTCATGTGTCAGGTGTGACCAACCAAAACCATTCGGTGAATAGATCCAAGTACTTTATTGCTGTTTGCCTATATTACAAGAATCTCACCAAGCTGTCTACCTTCCCTTGGGAAATGGCAGATATGGACCAGTGGTGGGTTTCAAAATTTTTTACCACCAGTTCTGTGAGTGTGGCTTAGTGGGCATGACATGGCTTGGTGGGCATGGCTTGGTGGGGGTGGCAGGGAAGGATACTGTAAAATTTCCATTTCCACCCCAATCCAGGGGAAGGTTACTGCAAAATCCCCATTTCCTAATGATCTTGGGAGATGGACTTGGGGAGGGAGATGGATCCTAATGGACTTGGGAGGGAGAGAATAGATGGGGGCGGGGCCAGTCAGAAGTGGCATTTACTGGTTCTCTGAACTACTCAAAATTTCCGCTACCGGTTCTCCAGAACTGGTCAGAACTTGCTGAAACCCACCTCTAATATAGACCTAGAATTTGACCACAGATGTTTCCTTCCCCTGAACAGACTCCAAGCTGGAATGTGCCTTTACGCCCCCAGAGGGCAGGTAGCTTCCAAAAAGCTCTCCTTCCGGAAAGCTATCAAGCCTAAATTCACAGTCTCCTTGTTTCTTCTCCCTTTTTAAAAGTTGGGATGTGTGCAACCCATATGTCTGCCTCTCCTAGCCTAGGTTGTAAAAATGCTATATATTTAATTTTTTTAAATTTATTTAGTTTGTCAAATATGAGATAACAAGTATAAGTATAAACATGGACATGAACACAGGAAATGAGTACAAGTAAATGGGGACGGTAGGACAGGGATGGTAGGCACACTGGTGCGCTTATGCACACCCCTTTTACGGACCTCTTAGGAATGGGGTGAGGTCCACAGTAGACAGTTGAAGGTTGAAGCTGTGAGGGTTAGAGGATGTAACAATGGAGTCCGGTAGAGCATTCCAGGCGTTGACCACTCTGTTGCTGAAGTCATATTTTCTGCAATCGAGTTTGGAGCGGTTTACCTTGAGTTTGTATCGATTGTTTGCTCGTGTATTATTGCGGTTGGCGCTGAAGTAGTCGTTGACAGGTAGGATGTTGTAGCAGACAATTTTGTGTACTATATATAAAAAAACCTTGTAATCTCCCAGATAAATGGAACCTTAAAATTAAAGGGGTGATGTGCTCACCTTTGATATGCCTCTGTGCTTTTCAACTGTCAGCCTCCTCCTGTTTCGGTTTGCATTAAAATGGTGTTAACATGGTGTTAAAAATTGCACCCATTGAAATCGGCCCTGTCCAATTGCTTCTTTGACTACTGCCCAAACATTCTTTTCCTTTTGGAAAATAATTATTGCCCACCCACCCATCCCCAAAATTCTACAAATCTATCATCTTCCTTTCAAATTAAAAGAGAGAGAGAGAGATCGCCGCTGCTTCTTAAGTCCCTTAGATCATATTTTGCTTAAGTAGCAGATTATCATCTCTTGGGGAACATTTGTCTGTGTTTGCCATCTGTCTCTCATTTTCCCTCATGAACGGGCTTCTTCTTTTTTTTAAGGGAGAAAGAAGTGCTTCTTCCTTAAGGAAGAAGCATGTTTAATCACCAGCTGCCCATGAAAATGGACACCATCATGTCTCAGTTGGAGTGCAGGTGGAGATAGGTTTAAGTGGCCACGAGGACACTGCTTCAAGTACATTGTAATAAGAATTATGGATCTCTTAAACTTTCTGCCAACATCTGCAACTTGCCTGGTTCGGTCATAACCACAAGTACTACCTGGGTCTGCTTTCTGAAAGAGCCAACACAAAACCTCTAGAACAGTGGCCTCCAAACTTGGCAATTTTAAGACTTGTGGACTTCAACTCCCAGAATTCCTAGACTTGGAGGAGGAATTCTGGGAGTTGAAGTCCACAAGACTTAAAGTTGCCAAGTTTGGAGACCCCTGCTCTAGAAGAACCTTCTCCAGCCAGGTGCTTTGTAGATGTGTTGAACTACAACTTCCCATCGTGGTCATCCTCAAGAAATCACGGCCTTTGTTTTTATCAACAACTTAGGAGAACAGGAATCTTATCTGTTGGGCTTACTTAGTGAATTTCTGCTCAGGATAAGACAAACAATCCATTTTTTTAAAAAAAAGACCGGGTCAGATAACAAATTATATTATGGATTTATTGTTAGTGATCTATATTAAGCATGGTTCTTCACCCAGAAGAACATTGGAAGATTTTTTACTCTTTCTCTATCCCCAACTTTTAATTCATAATGTTGTATTGGTTACGTGTCTGTTGATGGCTGATTTGTCAGAGTGCCAGGCTTCTAGGAATTCCCTGGCATTTTTAGACTTGGCCTGGTCTAGGATGGTTGCATTGACAATTTTTTTTTCATTTATTTATTTTTGTTTAACATGTACAGGATAACAGGTATAAGTATAAACATAAATATTAACATAGTAAATGGATACAAATAAAATGGGGACATTAGGACAGGGACGATAGGCACGCTGGTGCGCTTATGCACGCCCCTTACAGAACTCTTAGGAAAGAGGTGAGGTCAACAGTAGACATTCAAAGGTTAAAGTTTTGGGGGTTTGGGGAAGTAACCACAGAGTCAGGTAGTACATTCCAGACATTGACTACTCTGTTACTGAAGTCATATTTTCTGCAATCGAGTCTGGAGCGGTTTACTTGAGTTTGTATCTATTTTCTGCTCGTGTATTGTTGTGATTGAAGCTGAAGTAGTCATTGACAGGTAGTACGTTGTAGCGGATAATTTTGTGTACTATGTTTAGGTCAGACTGTAAGCGGTGTAGTTCTAGGTTGTCCAAGCCCAAAATTTCAAGCCTGGTGGCGTAAGGTATTTTATTGCGGGCAGAGGAGCGGAGGACTCTTCTCATCTTGAAATACCTTTGGACTCGCTCAATTGTATTAATGTCCGATATACAGTGCGGATTCCAGGCAGACGAGCTGTATTCGAGAATTGGTCTAGCAAAGGTTTTGTATGCCCTAGTTTGCAGTATAATATTACATTGACAATTGTCAAGATGAACCTGGGTTCTGAGTATAGTTTTATTAAGTATGTTCTTGCTATTTTTATTGTAAATTGCCCAAGGTGTTTCAGAAGAGGACGGGATCTATCAATGTATCAAGTAATAAAAATAATAAGGTGTGCATACAAAGCAAACCCTCAGCATCTTTTTGGGGTGAGCTACAAGTCTAACAGAGAGATATCAACCTAGGACATCAATAACAGTGTCGTATTCCTTCCCTCTTTTCAAGACTCCCAATTATCCCGGGTCCAGCCAAGATCAAACTATAACCGACACCCACCCCATCTCTGGGAAAGAATCAGTGGACATCCCTTGGAGCCAGTTTGGGGACCATCTGTCCAACTTTGTGAGCTTCCTACGACTACCAACCAAAAGACCTATCTATGGTAGGAAATGGCCAGGTTTCTCCTAACTAGAAGGCTCACAGCCAGAAATTCAAGGATGTGACTCAGATAAATTACTGTATGGCAGATCCTAGTAAAGTTCTCCATGATGAAGAAAAGCAGCTCTTGAAAACTTCTACTGTATAAACCCCTATATCCGTGATGACGAACCTATGGCATGTGTGCCACAAGTGGCACGCGGAGCCATATCAGTGGGCACGCGAGCTCAGCTCACACCGGCCAGCTGATTTTCGGGCCTTCTGGGTCCACCGGAAGTAGGAAAACAGGCTGTTTCCTGCCTCCAGAGGGCCTCGGAGGGGTGAGGGGGTGGGTGTCTCTCCCCAGACTCCAGAGGCTTTCTAGGTCTATTCATGAATGGTGGGACCGGAAGACAGGAAACAAGCCATTTCCGGCCTCTGGAGGGCTCCGGGGTTTGGAGAAGGCTGTTTTTGCCCTCCCCAGGCTCCTAGAAAGCCTCTGGAATCTGGGGAGAGTAAAAAAACGGGCCTACTGGGCCTACCGTGCCATCGTGTGCCAAAAGCGTGGGGAGCGTGGGGTGGTGCGTGCGCATGCATGGGCGTGGGGCACATAGAATTATGGGTGTGGACACACATGCGCAAGACCCCCCCCTGCGCTCCCCCGGCTTTTGGCACGCGATGGCAAAAAAGTTAGCCATCACTGCCCTATATTGTAGAGTAATTCCCAGTTGATGTAGACTTGATACTGTTGGAAGAAATGTCCATCTGGGTTCATTTCCAAGTGGGGACAAAGACACAGGAAACATGGAGGCTGCTTGAAAAGATGGTTTTAATGTTGGATAGGACCACATGGTTTTGAGGTCCTGGACAAAAAAAGCACATAGTTGAGAGAGAGAGAGAGAGAGATTTATTTCCTCTGTTGGGCTTTGAATTCAAGCTTATATTCTGATTGGTTGTCCCATGGAATTGGTTGTCCCATGGGGCCATGCAGGGGTAACTTTGTAGGTTGTCTTTTGAGTCCCAAGCTTGGTTGAATCTTGCTGGGTAATGCAATCTCCCCAGGTGCCATGTGGTGAGTTCTGTTGTTAGATGGGTAGAGGGCTAATCCTACCTTTGTTGGATCTTGGGTGAGGGCATTTGCTTATGAATTGACCTAGCTATCTCTTTATCTCTTAAGTGCTGACATCTGCTGTGGGCTATTGAGGATTGTAGAGAATATTAAGAGTGAGTTTCTTCCTGCCTTAAAAAAAAACATGTTTCTCCATTTCTCATCCAGGGCAATATAATATTCTGCCTTTTTAATATTTCCTAGAATATTTCATTCTTCTACGAGAGGGGTGGGTGCAAACGTCCTACAATACCTTGCAAATGTTGCTCGATACAACTCCTTGACTATCAGTCATGGTCATAGAAGTTGGAGTATGACCCTTCTACTCTAAGGAAGGTGAATTCCTGGTGGGTAGCTCTTTTCCCAAGCATAACCAGTGGTGGGTTTCTACTGGTTCACCCCAGTTCGGGCAAACCGGTAGTGGCGGTGGTGGAAGGCTCCGCCCACCCGCCCGGACATCATCACGGACGCTCTGCACATGTGCAATTCCAAACTGGTAGCGAAGGTAAGCGAAACCTACCACTGAGCATAACATTCTTGATGTTTCTTTCCTCCCCACCTCCCAGACCGGAAAAATGCCAACAATCTTACACCCTTCAGTGGAATGGATTTGCCTACTCAGACTCTTTCAGCCCGAAATGCGAACGCTCCACGAAACAGCATCCACAGCTCAGCCTCGCCCAACAAGGAGATTCGGAAGACCAGCACCCGGAAGCCATCCGATTTAGAAAACACCATCTCCCTCCAAGAGGCGATGGCCTTGTTCCCTTCCTTGCAACGCCTGCTTACCAAGAAGGAGAAGCTCTCTATTTCATCTCTCTACTATCAGAGTCCCACCACCGGGTTCAATACCTTGCAGAAGAAGCTCAAAAGCATGTTGGACAAAGATAGAGAAGACGAGAACTTCAAAATCCCACAGCCGTTGCCCGAGATTAAACCTGAAGAAATTTTGAGCTGCAGGTTAGCAACTTCATCGTCGTTTCATTCCCCCATTCTTATTCTTCTGGTCTACCTTTGTCCCCATCTCAAGAAAACATTGGCACTTCATAGTCCCTGAGCATTCAACTATATCTCCATGGGGCTTATTTGTAGGACTCTCAAACTATTCTGAAAGCTTTTTTCCCCGTTTTATTTTGTGTTTCAGCAAATTTGGGGTTACATTCCTTCTGTAGCCCACCAAATGTAGAAAACTGTTAGCATGCACATTCTGGACCTCTATATTCTGCGGTACCTCTAGATTCTGTGGTATGATGAAGAGCCGAGGTGGCGCAATGGTTAGAGTGCAGTCCTGCAGGCTATTTCAACTGACTGCTTACTGCAGTTCGGCAGTTCAAATCTCACCAGGCTCAAGGTTGACTCAGCCTTCCATCCTTAGAGTGATTTCCTTCCTTCCTTCCTTCCTTCCTTCCTTCCTTCCTTCCTTCCTTCCTTCCTTCCTTCCTTCCTTCCTTCCTTCCTTCTTTCCCAGTGGTTACAATGCAAAATTGTAGGCTAACTCTGCCCACTGCCAACAGTTCGATCCTGAATGGCTCAAGGTTGACTCAGCCTTCCATCCTTCCGAGATGGGTAAAATGAGGACCCAGATTGTTGGGGGCAAGAGGCTGATTCTGTAAACTGCTTAGAGAGGGCTGTAAAGCACTGTCAAGCGGTATATAAGTCTAAGCGCTATTGCTATTGCTATCTTCAGTTCAGGATCTTCAGTTCTGGGTCTCTCCATATTAGGTCTCTGTAGCTGACACTTTGTTATGATTGAACATAACCCATAAAGTGCAAGAAATTAAATAACTGTTGGTGATCATGTGCATTGCACACATCTTATTCTTTTTATTTTCTTTGCACAGGTATCTTCGTTTGTCTCAGAGCAATATTCATACACTACTGGAGCTGTGTAAGGAATCTGGGATTTACATAGATTTGCACCCCCATATGAAAGAATCGGAAATTGATGCGAGCTCCATACTCTCGCCGAACACCCACCGGCCTCTGTAGACTGTATTTCTGCTCCAGACTTGGTTGCTTTTAGATTGTGTGTTGTGTAGAAAATGAGACTTTTCGGCCTGGAAACAAACAAATCAATTTCTCAATTGAAATGAAAAACCAAAAAACTACAGACTTTTTGGGAAAGGATGAATGATGCGATGGTTTAAAAAACAAAGCCAACACTTATTGTCAGTAAAATTGTAAGCAAGTGAAATTGTTTCTTGATATTGGTTAATGTCCCCTGGAAGCTGGGAGAGGAGAGAAGAGAAAGGAAAGAGAAGAGAGGAGAAGAGAAGAGAAGACAAGAGAGGGGAGAGGGGAGAGGGGAGGGGAGGAGGGGAGGGGAAGGGAAGGGAGGAGGGGGGAGGGAAGGGAAGGGGAGGAGAGGAGAGGAGAGGAGAGGAGAGGAGAGGAGAGGAGAGGAGAGGAGGAAAGGATACCAAGAGGTCTGAAATCTCTGAAATACATCATGGTTTTTTTTTTTTAATTTGATTTATATGCCGCCCTTCTCCAGAGACTCAGGGCGGCTTACAATACGCTAAGCATGTTAAACCATGACATCACTGTTTTTGTGAATTCTCAGGTTTCCTTCAAAAACTTAGGCATCAGGGCATTTCTTCTCATTAAGGCTGCTGCCAATTATTATTTTATTTATTATTTATTTTATTTGTCAAGCATGTATGAGAAAATAAGTATAAGTATAAACATAATATATAAACATATAAATATAAACAGGTGTAAGTATAAACATAAGAAATGAGTAAAAATAAATGGGGACAATAGGGTAAGGACAGTAGGCACACTGGTGCGCTTATGAACGCCCCTTACAGACCTCTTAGGAATGGGGTGAGGTCCATGGTAGACAGTTTAAGGTTAAAGTTTTGTGGGGTTGAGGATGTAACAATGGAGTCGGGTAGAGCATTCCAGGCATTGACCACTCTGTTGCTGAAGTCGTATTTTCTGCAATCGAGTTTGGAGCGGTTTACTATGAGTTTGTATCTATTGTTTGCCCATGTATTATTGTGGTTGAAGCTGAAGTAGTCATTGTCAAGTAGGACATTGTAGCAGATAATTTGTTGTACTATGCTTAGGTCAGACCATAGACGGTGTAGTTTCAGGTTGTCCAGGCCCAAAATTTCAAGCCTGGTGGCATAAGGGATTCTATTGTGAGCAGAGGAGTGGAGGACTCTTCTCGTGAAATACCTCTGGACACGCTCAATCGTATTAATGTCCGATATACAGTGTGGATTCCAGGCAGATGAACTGTATTCGAGAATTGGTCTGGCAAAGGTTTTGTATGCCCTAGTTAGCAGTACAATGTTACTAGAGAAGAAGCTTCACAGGATTAGGTTAACAATTCTTAGTGCCTTTTTGGCAATATTGTTACAGCGAGCTCTATTATATAATTATTATATATAATTATTATATAATGATATCATATCATACATAACACTTATTATATAATTGGTCAATCATATCCTAGAACACTGAGGATCTACAATCTGTGGGGCCTCAATTGGTTTGGGACTGCAACTCTCACTTTTTTTTTTTTGCCAAGTCTTTTTAGCTGGGAATTTTAGGATTTACAACGACAACACACCTGCAGAGTATGTGCTTCTTGGATGAGAAGCAAAACATCTTTCAAAAAAACCCAAAAAAACCAGAAAGTCCAGTTGCCTCTTGAAAAAGCATCTTTGGGACATCCCAGATAATTCTTCCTACTTCTCTGGAATGTAAAGGCAAGAGAAGAGGAGAACCTGCTTTCAAACTTGCAAGATTGATATCAGCCTTTTGAGGACTCCTCAAAGTCTCTTGCTATCTTCTTGTGTTGGATGGTTGTTTATTAACCAGAAAGGTCCACTTTTTCTTATTAGTTTCTTATTCATATATAAGATGATTAAGCCTGTTTCTTTTGCTGCAATAGAAGTGTCTCTTCTTGCTGTTAGTTGTGAAGTCATGTCTGACCCATCGCGACCCCATGGACAACGTTCCTCCAGGCCTTTCTGTCCTTTACCATCCTCTGGAGTCCATTTAAGCTCACGCCGACTGCTTTAGTGACTCCATCCAGCGACCTCGTTCTCTGTCGTCCTCTTCTTCTTTTGCCCTCAACCGTTCCCAGCATTAGGCTCTTCTCCAGTGAGTCCTTCCTTCTCGTTAGGTGGCCAAAGTAAAGACACTGGAAATATAAGCCTAGGAAGCGGATGCCCCCAAAAGAAATGTCAAAGAAATTTCAATCCTGAACAATAACGATTGTGAAATTGACATAATATAATGTCCCAGCGTCATAAATATTGGTTATTCTTGCATATCGCCACCAGATGGGGCTCAATAATAACCGAAATACACTATTTTGTGTGTGTGTGTGTGTGTGTGTGTGTGTGTGTGTGTGTGTGTATAAACACAGCTTTCCCAAATTCATTACCTTTGGAGTTGCTCATATACTATATTAACATCCTTTGAAGAGAAAAAACAAAAGAAAAACTACTTTTCCCTTTTCACAGTTCACATTTTGAAAGCCTCTAATGTGGCAACTTAAGGACTTGCAAAAATCTTGAGAAATTTATATTTAAGTCTCAAATTGACAGCAGCTTGCTCTGAGTCTGTAAAAAATCCTTCAAGGAAGGATGCACCTGTTTTAATACAGGTGCAAACCTAGGTTTTAATACATGTTTAAATATATTTTGTGGGGCAGCATTTTTTATTTTTTATTTTGATTTATATGCCTCCCTTCTCCGGAGACTCAGGACGGCTTACAATGCGTTAAGCAATAGCCTTCATACTTTTGTATATTTATACAAAGCCAGCTTATTGCCCCCACAAACTGGGTCCTCAATTTACCTACGTTAGAAAGGATGGAAGGCTGAGACAACCTTGAGCCTGGGGAGATTCGAACTTGCAGTAATTGCAGGCAGCTGAATGTTAATAACAGGCTATTAGTCTGCTGCGTCACCAGGCTCTTCCTGTATTTTGTACATACTTTCTTATAAAATGTCTACAGCAGTGGTGAGTTGCTACCAGTTCGCCCCAGTTTGGGCGAACTGGTAGTAGCGGCAGCGGGAGGCTCCGCCCACCGACCTGGATGTCGTCAAATACACTCTGTGCATGTGAACCGGTAGCAAAGGTAAGTGAAACCCACTACTGGTCTACAGAGATTCTCTGTCATCTATGTCATGGTTGTCCCAAAGGTGCTTTTTCAAGAGGCAACCTGGATTTCTTTGTTTTTTCTTTGAAGACGTTTCACTTCTCATCCAAGGAGCTTCTTCAGCTCTGACTGGATGGTGGGAGAATGGAAGGATTTAGACTCCTTGCAGACAGCTGGTCATTTGCATTCTCTTAGAGGGTCGTTGAGGCCACTTGGAGGTTTTGTCTGTGTCCTCAGGGTCACCTGAGTAGTGCAAATGGGTGTGGAGCCTTCTTAGAAGTACTGAAAGGACTGAGATGTGGAGCTGTGTTTTCTGCAGGATGTTTTTCCCTGCCCTTCACTGTTCAACCCAGATGCAGGCTGTTGGAAATGAGTGTTGTCTGCATCTAAAACTGAAGCACAAATGGTTCCTGCAACAGTCTGCAATTTTTCTTATAAAAACCCCCTTTAGAGAGTCCGATTATCGCTCTAATATTAGTTCTGCTGCTAAGTGAGAGTTCTCGTAATTCACCTGCCAAGGTTATCCCAAACCTCTCGCCTCTCATTGAAGATGGTAGGAATTAAACCTCAGACCTTGATTTATGCAAATCTAAGTATTGAACTACTTAAAGCTGTTATCTGGTACGAAAGCCAGGAAGAAGTTTGCAAGAGTATCGGGGACCTGCCTCCTGCTCCTTTGATGCTACGATCGCATCTAGCTGCATGCAATTTTGGCTCTCCAGTGGATGCACAAATCCTGATGATGCAAAGTTTATGCTTCTACAAAGGGTTGGAATTCATGTTCACTGAAGCTCAGTTGTTCTTTCCTTTTCGTTTGATTTGGAATTAGCGGAAGAGGACACTGTCATTTTACAAGTTTAGAAGTGTGGGGACGTTTCCTTAGCCCAGGGGCATCTAACTTTGGTGACTTTAATTCCCCAGCCAGCCATTCTGGGAATTGAAATCCACAAGTCTTAAAGTTGCCAAGGTTGGACACCCTTCTACAAGCTTAACCTTTTTGTGGCCTGTCAGCATCCAAATCAGATAAGGAGAAGGTGTGGGAGTCAGAGCCAGCATCAAGGCAGCCTAAGAGCTCCGAGAGGGAAGAGGGAAAGGAGCTGGGAGAGAGAGAGAGAGAGAGAGAGAGAGAGAGAGAGAGAGAGAGAGAGAGAAGAGAGAGAGAGACGGATCCTGGGCCACCCTCAGACCTCAGATGGAGAGTCAACAGCCCACAGGTCTGGAGGTAGCTGATGAGGAAGAAGAACAGCTGAGTCCAGTGCCTGATGCATGGATGCACAGAAGGCAGAGGAGAGGAGAGCAGTGGAAATCCGTGGGCCGATCCTTGGGAAGGAAGAGCCACTGCTGCTAGAGAAGCCCCACCCTAGTTCTGGGGATAAAAGGCAGTGGGTGAAGATGAATAGATGTGGCAGACAACTATTCATCTCCCTGCCGGACAGACTTGTTAGCTTGCAGTAACTTTTTGCCGGAGCTGCCGGCGCTCCTAATAAAGGAATCATTGAATTAACTTCAGAGGGTTTGTCGTGTTTGGGGAGCTGGGTCAGAACAAACCCATTTGCTTATCTGGTGGAAACTGCAGACTTCACCCAAACTTCCATAGTGCCTTGTGCCATCTGGATCAAGAATCAATAGTGCACTGCTTTGGATGGCAGAAAATAAAAATAATAATAAAAAGAAAACATGTTTGTGGCAAAAGGATCTTAATTTCTCTATATTAATTCTCTCTGATTTAGAGGCACGAAAGAGGCATCTAAAATAACACAGATTTTTTTACTTTGGAAATGAGCAATTTTGGGGGATCTCTGATCCTTGCTTCTAGGATCTTGCTCTATTGTTGCAGCTTCTTGTTGACAACAAGAAGGAGGCCTTAACAATCTTCTTAAACTTTACACATACTCAAAAATATTGGGAATGGTCAGAAATGGCCCATTGTTGTTGTTATTTCAATTAGTTCGAAACCCACTAGATTAAATTTCCAAATTCCTCACGGATGCTGCTTTCAGTTAAATGGGATGTTAATGCTAGTTGATTGTAGGTGGACAGCTTTAATTAAGTAAATATTTAAACCAATTTAT